CTCTTATCACAGTGCCATTTAAAAAAAGTGTTTATATTCATAGCAAAAGAGTATAATGTGCTTTTGGTGTTTTAAGATAGTTTCTTTCTCTGGTTTCTGCCTGCTTTAAACACGCTCTCTCTCTCTCTCTCTGTCTCTCTCTCTCTCTCTCTCTCGCACCTCCCCCCACTATCCTCTCCCATGAGGAATGCAAGTTATGAAAGGGCTCCTATGTCAGTTTCTATATACCATTCAGCTGTGACTCTGAGAATGAAAGCAAGAGAAAAAAACCCTGACGGACTCTGGCTGGTGTTGCTTGTGTAGCTCATACTCAGACCATAGCCTGCAGCAACAATAGAATCCCAGTTCCGTTTTGTATGAATCACTGCACTATGATTCAAACAGAAGGGGCTGAAAAGCTGCATTAAAAACTGAGCTCTACATTTCTTGGAAACTCTCTTTTTTTAGTCTTTTCACAATCTCTGATACATTATTGTAATCACCACGCTGAAGTTTCTTTGTGTTCCATATTATTTCATTTGATGAACTTTGAATTATCTTACTTGATTGTTTGTATGAATGTTTACTTCTCATCACTTTTTTTTTTGTTGCCATTAAAGCATTTTTCTTTTACATATAATAACCCAAATAAACATGTCAGTCTTTCCATTTTTCTAGAGTAATCTCGCATGATTATTTATTTAGTGGTTCGACACAGACAAGTCTTAGTGTGTGTGTGTGTGGGTGCAGATGACTGCACAAAGTAGCATTATCAATCTCCTTGCCTACTGATTTTGTTATAGTATATGTATGTTGAGAAATGTGTGGGGGTGGAGTATTTGCATGCTGCAATATAATCTGCTCATTTAAGTTATGTGTTAAAAAAAATCTAACTAACTCTGAAACTCTAAATGGTGCCATTGCAAACAGACACAAGCACACTGAGAAAAAGAAATAGGTGGGAAATTGTTAAAAAAAAGAAAGAAGAAGAAGCAGCAAAGACTGTAGGCAGGCTGATGATGGTGTCTGAAGGGGAGCTGTTGAGGGAAGCTTTTCTGGCTTAGATGAGTGGACAGATCCAGAGAAAAGAGATATTAGTTAGAACAAAACAAAGAAGTAACTAGTGAACTAAACTAGAACAAAACATGTGGGATACTATATCTACTAGAAAGCTCTGACAGGGAATGACTCTTATAGATAGTGATCAGACAGACTGCTGGTTAGTGGACTGATGGGATCAAAGGTGTGCACAATGATCACAGGGGATCTGGGAAACGTAACGAGCCACACCTGCTACACACACAGACCGAGACGTGACATGCAGAGAAAACAAACGGGGGAAAAGGAAAGAGAACACAGGAAAGTCAGAAGGGGAGTGAGGTGTATATAACAGTAAGAAAAAAATGTTTTTCGTAATGATCTTATGTAGTTAAATGTAAGGAGATATGCCATTAAAATACATATTAGGGACTTC